GATTTTAGGACTAAAGGAATTGTTCTAGTTTTCTTGATTTATTAATAAACTTGGGTTCTGAGTGAACCATATTTCTTTGGAAACACTTTGTGACACTGTTTAAAGGATTTTTGGTGAATCTCTTCTTGAATATTTCTCTATTATAAACTATTTCTTTAAATTCTTTCTTTGGGAATTGTTCTTTTAAAAGAAATTCCACTTGGACACATCAGTCTAATATAAATTTGATCACAATACTAAACCTGAATCTGGTAGAAATAAAAGAAAGAAAACCTGAATAGTTACCCAAAAAGAGAATCAAGAAATAGTATAGTGAAAACTAATTTAAGAGAATAGTCAAGATACTGTGATAATTTATTATTTCAACCATTAGGAAACAGAAGATGGTCTAGAAACAGTTCTTATCAAATGTATAAGATGCTTACTAAACAATAGAAATAGAAATAAATATAGTATAGAAATAGAATCAGATTTGATCTATACTATACCATTTTTAAACTATCAAAAAAATACTAGAAGAGTACAATTACTAAAAGTTTCTTGTTTCCTATTGAAACTAGATAGTATAATAATCAAAAGTATAGTCCCAAAAACTTAAGATTTGACAAATGATCAAATTAAAAAAATGGAACAAGTATTAATAGGAGATTGGGAACAAGAAATACTCAGAGACAATGTCAAGCAAGGAGTATATCAAGATTACTTATTTGAAATTTTTCAGCACAATCAAGGATCACAGGAGAAGCTGATTTTCTACTTTGACAGATCCTTAATCGACCATAAAAATGAAAATACAAAAATGGATGTAGTATAAATATAAACAAAAGGAGCTGGAAAAGAAAAAAAAGTAAATTTCAGATAGGAGTCAAAAACTGGCCCTCATATACAAAGGTAGAACTGGTGGTACTGATTACAATAGCTTTAGTAGCTTCAATAGATAGTACAATCGAGATCTTCATAGATAGTTAGGTCTGCATCTCTAAATGAAAAAAGCTAGAGAAAGAAGATCTGAAGATAATATACAAAAGATGATCAAAAGAAAAGAATTGATCATTATGAGTGAGAATGCTAGATCTTGTAAAGAAAAAGTATATCTAACTAATGTTGATTAAGATTAAAGTTCACTCTAATAATCCATGGAATGAAGAAGTAGACCAATTGACCAAAGAAACTTTAATACTACCAACAATAGAATGAAAGAGTCTCAAATTAAGCAAGATACCTACTGAAACTATGTGACAAGAAGAAGTAGTAGATAGTCCAATACAACAGTTCATCAAACAAATTAATAAAAGATCAATGGTCCTATCATGGATATAGTAATATAGAACAAAGACAAAATGGTATTATCAAATTTACAAATATCAAATCTACTTATATGATCTGGTATGGGATAGGTTAAAGAATGGAAATATATGGGATACCTTTTTCAAAAGCTTATAGAGAAGAAGCTTTCTGGTTAAATTGATCAATAATGAACTACCTATTTTAAGCAAACTAATAATAAGAAAACCAGACCTATATAAACAAGCAAAATGTATAACATGCAATTAGTATTAAGAAACAATAGAATATTTATTAGAATGCTTTGGTCATAAGATTAAGATCCTAGCGGCATAGCAAAAAGAATCTTAGACTTTCCTTAAAGTATTCAACAAGTTGTATCAAGAACGTAAGAGAAAAGCAGATGAAAAAATAATATAACTAGCAGTCAACAATAGAAGAGAAAAAGATGAATTAGATAAATGAGTCTCCAGACTAATAGAATTATCTTGTAAACTGGTTCAAGCACTCTTAACTTTTACATAGGATTAGTAGAAGATGATGCAATCAAAGAAGCTGTTAATCTAAATTGTCATAGAAAGAAGCTAGAAACAATGGCAAAAAAATGGATTCTAAAAGTACAAAAGAAGGTTTACAACTAGATCCGAAAACAAGTCTGGAATATAAAATATAAAAAGATTATTGAATAGGAATAAGAACAAAGAATTGATAGAAGAACAAAATACAAGAAGATTTAGGAAGTTAAAAGACAAGATCTACAAGATAATTCTAGTCACAAAAATACAAGGCAAAGAGAAGAAGAGAAAGAGAGTGAAAACAAAAACCTTATAGAAATTATAAGAAATGGAATTAAATATGGGATGAAGTGATTGGATTTTGATCTTTGTCAGAATCTCGTGCAATGATCTACAGATGATGATGTTAGAAGTTGGAAGGATTTCTATCCGAACTACCGTAAACCACTGCATACAATACCCCCCCCTAAAGTAATACCTCCCCTTAAATAATACTCGGTAGTATTCAAGAAAATTGTTACTCAATAAATGATTACTACCCGGGTATATTAAGCTAGAGAGATACGTCAGATGATAATAAAACACTAAATATTCCGCCATTTATACTACCCCCCTTCTAGTAGAATACCCCCTGGATACTAATCAATTTATCATGGGATAAATTGATTAATACCCGGGATATTGTATGCAGTGGTTTACGGTACTAATGGAGCAATAAATCACTTCCAAAATTGCACTTAGAGTCCTAGATAAATATAAGACTTTGACAAGTGAGTTAGTTAGAGATTTAACTTTAGCAACACATATATAATGTATAGCTTACAATTGTTTAATAAAGCACACATAACTGCCTGACAGAGGGTCATTTAAAAAAATAAAAAAAATTAACTTCTTCAATATTGATATTATTTTAATTTAATATTTCCTATTATTCCATATATATTTTACTTTACCCATAAAATTTTCTGATAGGATATATAAACGTTGGAACTTTATATAGCACATCAATCCGTTATGAATGATATTGGTCGAAGGAAAAAATTCGGTATACTGCTTCTTCAGTTTAAGAGGCGCCATAATAACTGTGGTATACATCATGCAGATTTTTCCCCCTATCTTTGGCAATCTGTACGGGTAACCTTTGCGAAGCGAGAGCTTCGAATGTACATTTAATGACATTCATACCATTACGCGAACCGCGTACCTTACACGAAACATCTTGTATACCGATACACCTGCAAATCTCGTGTACATAATGGTTTGCTCTAATTCCAAATCCTGACATTGACGGAAAAGTCATAGCTGTAGAAGTAAGATTATAATGTCTTGGCGTAACAGAGATATCAAATATAGTAGCAGTCTTACCTGGAGGTCTGGCCCAGAATTTAATTTTTGTCGCGTGAAATTTATGATCAATATCATGATATATTGTTCTGTCGTCATATCTTTCAAAGTATCTTAAATTCTTTATAGCTTTGTTCGTGGCTTTCTTGATGGCAGTCGGCGCTTCTTCGTGTTTTCCCTCTCCATATCCAGCCACTCCATTTCCATTTCCGACCACTACTAATGAATACATACTTACAATCCTGCCTTTACTAGTTTGATTTTTGACACTTTTCATAACCAGTGTCACTTTCATCAGATTACGAATCTCATCGGATGTTAGACCAGTCATTGCTGATAAAGTATTTGTATCATCGCTTTCGGTTTCTGGTGCCGTTAACACAACGGACGGACGTGTTATAGGAAACGGGGGATCAATTATCGATTCATTTGTTGTATCAAGCACATCCAGAAATGGGTCTATCTTCGATAAGTCGGGGAGTTGTTTTGGATCAAGATCAGGGAAACGGGGATGAGACGGTCTATTATATTTAGATGAATGAACAAAATCTTTAACAGGTTCAGGGTGAGAAGGGGACGGGACATTTTTATCATTCGAGGAGTTGGTAAAAGTTGATGCTGTCGTCGAGAATTTATGTTGATGGCTGATGGCATCTATTCTATAAGAAATTCATTAAAAGATTCTTTCTCTTTACTGAATGCTTGAAAAAAAAAAATCGACACAAATAATTCAGCTCATCCTACTCTTCTTACCGAATGCACTACCAACTAAACATGTCCGCGCACGAGGAAAAAAAAAAGGTCTTTGATTTATTAACAAATTTTTTATCATCGTTTTAACAGCACATGTAAAAATCAGTCGCGTTTTATGTGTGCGCATATAATTGGCTCGAGTACAAAAGCCACATGAATTCAGAATAAACCTCCTGACCTATCATTAAACTCGAGTTCTTTCTGTAAGCAATAATGACGGAGTACCGAGTTTCGAAACCAAAGTTTTTTGCTACTACAAAGAAAGGTTAGCCTTATATATCATATATTTAATTCTTTGTTATAGAAATAAAACAGTGAGACGACGATCGCTGAGAAGCAGGCTAGAAGAATCAGTGATTTTCAAAACACATCAACCTTTCATTTCAATCAGGTTTTTTTATTTATTTCAACAAGTTCCTTTTTCTCTTTGACATTCTCAAGAACAATTCTACCCATTGACTGCAAAGACCTCTTTCATCAAACTGGGATCTTGACAAAGGACAAATGTATACTTAAAACAAGAATTTTTTGGCTTACTTATTTCCTTTGAATTCTGTAGGAGAAAATTATGAACTCCGTGCGGATCTCAACAGTGAATATCGTGACCGACGGAAAGATGCTATTAAAAAGGTTATTGCAAACATGACTGTTGGAAAGGATGTTTCTGGTTTGTTTCCCGACGTTCTGAAAAATATGCAAACTGATGATTTGGAGCAAAAGAAATTGGTATATTTGTATCTAATGAATTATGCCAAGACGCAGCCTGAATTGGTGATTCTGGCTGTAAATACATTTGTCAAGGTAAATGATTGAAAGCGACAGTTTGCTGTGTTATAAGAAAATAAAAAAGAAAAGCTGACCAAAATTGTAACAGGATACCGATGATAGTAATCCGCTCATCCGTGCACTTGCCATTCGGACTATGGGATGCATCCGTGTTGAGAAGATTATTGATTATTTATGTGAGCCATTGAGGAAATGTCTGAGAGTAAGAAAAATTTAACTTCCACAAGTTGCTATTTTAGTCAATCATTTTATTTTTATATTTACCTTACCTTTTTTATCGCCGATTCTCCTTCAAGGATGATAATCCTTATGTCCGGAAGACGGCTGCAATTTGTGTCGCAAAGTTATACGACCTAAATCCCGACTTGGCTATGGAAAATGGTTTCGTTTCCGTTTTGCAGGATATGGTGTCTGATGCAAATCCAATGGTACTAAGTTTTAATGGCTCTTTTCCACTGATATCGTGAACTTTGGTGACTTAACTTTTTTTTAATAGGTGGTGGCAAATGCCGTCACGGCGCTTGCAGAAATAAACGAAGCCTCTAGCACCAAAGATATATTCGTAATAAATACACCTACACTTACAAAACTTTTGGTGGCACTCAACGAATGCACCGAGTAAGTTTCTAGTACATAGTTAGCTGCCTATATTTCATAGCATTATCAACCTAGGATAACGTTCTCTCTTTTCTATCGGCTCATTTGCATTACAGATGGGGTAGGATAGCTATTCTTACCTCGTTGGCGGAATACAAACCTGCAGATTCGAAAGAGGCCGAACATATAGTCGAACGTGTTATCCCGCAATTTCAGCATGCCAACGGAAGTGTGGTGTTGTCCTCGATTAAGGTAAGTTCTCTTTATTTATATGCGTATAATTATATGGTTCAATTTAAATGTGGATTTTGTTTAACAGGTTGTAATGATATACATGAGGATAATAAAAAATGAAGAATTGATACGACAATTAATTAAAAAACTGGCACCACCACTTGGTAATTATTAGATTTCCCAAATTTTGTCGCAAAATTTTTTGAGTTAAAATACATTTCTCGTTTTCGTTTCAAATAATTGTAAACTTCTTTTTCTTAGTTACATTGTTGTCGTCTGCACCAGAAGTTCAATTCGTCGCCTTGAGAAACATTAACCTCATATTGCAACGAAGGCCCGACATTTTGCAAAATGAGATGCGAGTCTTCTTTTGCAAATATAACGATCCACCATATGTCAAATTGGAGAAATTGGAGATTATGATCAAGCTGGCAACTGAAAAGAATGTGGATCAATTGCTATCTGAATTGAAAGAGTATGCAATTAATGGGCATGAAACGTTCAATTTTATAAAATCTTTTAGTAATTGATCATCCACACTTTCCTTGTCCAGGTATGCGTCTGAAGTTGACGTTGATTTTGTTAGAAAATCGGTTCGAGCTATCGGACAATGCGCCATCAAGATTGACGAAGCATCTGAAAGATGCGTCAACGTTCTCTTAGATTTAATTAATACAAAAGTAAATTATGTGGTTCAAGAAGCTATTGTCGTCATAAAGGTAATTATCTATTGTTAGTGAATCGAACCTAGGATATGAACGAATGCTTACCAACACTTTACTCCCCCGTTATAGGATATATTTAGAAAGTACCCACACAAGTACGAAGGGATAATCCCAACTTTGTGCAAGAATTTGGATGCGTTAGACGAACCAGAAGCAAAGGCATCACTTATTTGGATTATTGGAGAGTACGCCGAAAGAATAGAGAACGCTGATGAATTGATTATCACTTTTCTTGACACGTTTAGGGATGAGAACCCTCAGGTATGCGAGGATGTTTGAACTCTTGCGAACTTATGAGTACGATTACTAGTTACACTAATTATTTTTTTTGTATTACCTCCTTTTGATCGGAAAGGTTGAATTACAACTGATCACCGCCAGCGTCAAATTATTCCTCAAAAAACCACAGTCAACACAAAATATTGTCCAACGTGTACTGCAAATGGCCACAACAGAATGTGACAATCCTGACATTCGGGATCGCGCATATATCTATTGGAGATTGTTGTCTACTGACCCTCAGGCTGCCAAGGTATAATCTTGGCTTTTACATATATATATAGATATATATATATATGCATATTGTGTATTCCCTTTGGTAAAACCCAATCCAGGGGCAATTTCGGGTTTTGCAATAATGCCTAATTATTTCTCTAGGCCGTTGTCCTGTCAGACAAGCCGCCGATATCCGTGCAGAGTAACAATATGTCGGGTCCGCTACTGGATGAATTAATTAGTAACATTTCAACCCTTGCGAGCGTCTATCACAAACCTCCGGAAACATTCCTTGGGAAGGGTCGTTTTGGTGCCGACGCAGTTCAGCGAAGAGCAATCGAGTACGTTTAGATTTATGTCAAGTCAAACACATTTTTCCACGCTTAAAACTTACCTTGTGAATTAAAAAATTGCAGGGAACAAGAGGAAGCGTCCCGAGAGTCGCCAATTCAAGCACAGACAAAGACTAACATCGAGAATTTGTTGGATCTCGATTTCGAAGATTCCACCAATATGACGGCATCCGCCTCTCCGATTGCTACTTCTTCCAACTCTTTAACACCCACCACCAATGTGGACGATTTGCTGGGTCTATTTGGTGGGAGTAGCATAACGTCACCGGGTCAGGGTCCTTCAAATCATCAAAAAAATGGTTTGTCAAATGATTTGGTGAGCCTGTTCTGAGAAAAAAAAAAACATATTTAATAGTAATAAAAAAAAAAAAAAAGTTGACAAGTGATAAAACTAATCCGTTGTGGGTGCAAAAAAAAAAAAAAGAAAGAAAGAAAACGTCAATTTATTTATTTTTTTTTTTTTTTTGTTGCGTCAAAAGGCTTGGTAATGTGGCTAGGTGTAGAGAGGCTTTAATTTTTGGAGACATAATGGCAGCGGGATACTGGATTTAAATTTATTTTCTATAGCTTCATAGAATTTCATCTTTTTATGCAAATTTATGTAACAATAATTGAGGCAAAAAAGATTAACAATGAATTACAAATAGAGAAATAATAACAATGTATCTTCTATTATTTATAATTAATCCACAACCACTTTAATTAATCATTATACTGATTTAGTTCTTAAGCACAAATGAAGCATCAAGAATTAGAACGTGTAGTCAAAGAATTGTTCGTGAGACAGCGAATGTACTTAGGATTAACCAGACTGAGCACTCTTAATCACTTCTTGCAATAGTGACTGACAGATGGAAAATGCGATAGACGCAAAAAAAATTTTTTTATTAGAAGCTGACAGCATCTATCATCGTTCCTAGAGCCATCACAATGTTGTTTGACATGACTTCTTCCACACTTTCCTCCAAATGTCGTTTTGGATCTTGTTTCCCTACATGACGGGTCTTCAATTGATCAGCAGTCATCGTCGATTCCTCTTGCACCGATTTGTTGTAGGCTTCGGCTAGTGAAAGCATTGACTGCATACAAGGGGAGGAAGGTGAGTTGTGACTCACTCTAAGATGAGGTGTTTCAGAGGTTTACCCAGATTGATTTTACCTTTACAGCTTTTTCGTTATTCTCTGTGTGTTCGGTGAAGTTTGTCAATGTCAATCCGTGGGTCCAATTTTTCTTGTGCAAATTGAGCAGCATCTTTTGCTCCAATTCGTTCTTTCGATAGTTGATCGCAATAGAGTAATAGTGACGATTCAGTCCGTGAATCAACGCCTAGAATGAAATGATAAAATGAACAAGCGAATGAATTCATGAATGGAAGGATAAGGTGTTGCATACCTGAATGCTTGGTTTGTTGAGATGTCCGATATTTGATGTGGTTTGACGCGGTTCTTGACCGAGCATGAGCATCTGCGGGTTGATCAAACGGAAGGCATCAATCACCACTTTCCCTTTAACGGACTGAATGGGATCCACCACCACTGCCACGGCCCTCTGATTCAATGCCTCGAAACTCTGAGGAAATATATGGTAACGATAAATAATGCATTAAGGAGACGCGCGAATGAACTTTCATACCTGTTGAGTATTGATATCAACACTGGACAACCAACATCCAAATCCAGGATGAGAGTGATACCAGCCGACCACCATCTCTGGGCTGAACCAAAAATTCGAGGTTTAGCTAATGAATCAATTGGACGTTAAATAAATGAATTATTCGTACCGTCCGGTTTGCCTCAACATATCCAACATCTTTGTTTGAAAAACGGGATCGACAGCCTCAACCGAAACACCGGTACCACTTTGAGGCATGGCGAACACGTCAATTACCCGAACCGTGTAGTCGTCCACGAATTCTCCTAGCATCAGTCCCATAACTTCCATTGGCACTCCGGCGCGACCTAAAATTTCAACATTTTAACTACGCGCACTTGATCTATTTGGATTCTGGATTCGAAGCTTACCGTGCTTTAACATCTTTAGAGCGAAATTTATGGTCAGCGGAGGATTCGAGAACCCTATGCATACAGAACGTGTTGGTGAAACCTACCTTAAGTAGTGCTAGCGAAGAAATGTAAACCATTTCCGCATTGTCAACTGTTGGATTGTCCATTCCAGGAGTTTGTCCCGGCCCCGTGTTGAAAAGTCGTTGGATCCTCTCCATGGTGTTTTCAGTCTCTGATTCGCTTGGGCGGTGGATCTTACGTAGGTACTTACGTGCGTACGTACACTCTATAAAACGTCATGCACGCACGTATGTACGTAATATGATTCACGGGTTTGCATCTAAGCACATGCTTACTTTCGGAATAAACTGAATTGTCGAATACTGTAAGATTAATGTTGGTGAATATTCGGCATTTGGTTTTTCAGGACGATAGAAGACGAAAGTTATATATGCTTATGCTCTTAATCTTAAAAATTTAAGGATTTATCGTTGCAATGCGATTCGTGTGTCGATAGGAATTTTTCTCCACGCTTTTCCTTAGTTATCCATCTAGCACACATCAAATACTTTACAGTTGTGCTTAATGTTGCCCGATTTAATTTATTTTTAGTTACATCCCTGCGGCGTAAACTTGTAATTTAATATAATAACCTTTTATCCTAAGAGAAACATCTCACAATCTAGATTTACCGATGCGGCCTTCTCGACGCATAATTTTTAGTTTAGTTATTTTGTTCTTTCAATGCCTACTCGTTCTACCAGGTACCTTTTTCACAATAAAAAAGCTCGCGACGAGGCTTCGAAAATGTTAATTTTCTTTAATAACACCGTTTTTATTCGTTCTAACGAGAATGCATGGCTTTCGCATCTGCCAAATAGTGATATCCCAAACATCGGACAATAATGATCCGTTGTATGACATGTTTTACCAAGATCTAGAGGGAGTTGCGTGTGTTCGACTCTTAAATTCGACGGGGACAATAGGATGTCAAGGTATGGCTACTCATTGCGTAAGGAAAGATGTCACCATGAGAAGAAGAGTATTGAAAATTTGACATTTCATGTTCTCGCACGCATTTATCTTTCCTTCAGCTTTAAGTTCAATTACGGGAATATTATATTTTGCCGAAACCCAGGATAGCTTAACACAATTCATCAATGATGGACCCAGCGGGAAATTCGCGGTTATTTTGCCTTATCAATTAATGACAAAGTAGGTCTTAAACCTCATTCAAGTGAGTGTAAATCAATAGTCGTCTTACCGAATCACCAATCTCAATCATAATAATAATGATAATAATGACGAAGTGAAAACCTTCGTGCGCTCGGCGCGTCGGGCAAATTGGGAGGAGTGATTGCAATGATAAACGGAACATCCAGCGGGATTGCGCCAAGACCAAAATCATTTTCGCCGGATGAGCTCTGTCCGAATTGTCAATTCGGATTATATCGAAATGAAACAAACCAGTATAACTGGAATCCCAACGTGAGTTCAATCAATCGTCTCAAACAATCTGTGCATTGAAAATTCGGTCTCACACAGATTACCCATCTTCAGGGAACTGGATTGATCCAACAAAGTTACGAGTTCCCGATATTTGCTTTGTATCCGATCGATAATGTCTCATTGACCACGTACAGTGCGATCATGGATGTGCGCAGTAAATTTTCTTTTCATTCGATTCTCGTCATCGTCAATGAATTAAACGAGTCGGACGTTTATTACAATTTTAGGGTGCGGCATACAACGCGGCAAATTCTTTCAAATCATATCCTCTGAAAGCCGTAGAGTTCGATTCGATGATGTGGGCCGCGATAGACGCGCCGACCTGTATAAGACGAAGTAAACATGATCTTGTCATTCTGCTATTCTTGTATGAATGAATGACGAATGAGTGAATGAGTTTACCGTGAGAAAGTTATATTTACACTATACGTGTTGGTCACAATCCTATCTTTATTAGGTTTTTGTTCTCCCGTCGGAGGGTACTCGGTTTATTCTACACCTTCTTTCAACATGACTAAGAACGACGGAAAATCCATCATCGTGGTCGCGGCGGCGATGGATAGTCGGGCATTATTTCACGACTTGATTCTGGGCGTGGATAATGGAATATCCGGGACCATCGCGGTGCTGGCGGTCGCGGATGCTTTGAGTCGGGTAAATGATTTTTCACATGTGTTGGTTAGGGCAAAGGAAGTTGTCATTAAACATTCTCATACCATCAGTCTCCTGTGCCCGTTTCAAGTTTTCCCAAACACATTCTGTACACTTTGTTCACGGGGGAGGCGTGGGGTTTTGCCGGCTCTCAGAGATTCGTGAAAGACATATCCACCCCGTTCGTGTGCAAGTCGAATCAAACACAGGCGACCGTAAATTGTCCTTTTACGGGAGTATGTAGTTCTCCTTGCATACACGACAAGGATTTTGAACAAATCAATTTCGAGAGAATTGATTCGATCTTTGAATTTAGCCAAGTCGGTATTAACGCCACCGGTTTCTATGCTCATGTGGATGATCCCAATAATTCAAATAACAAAGTGCTCATAACTCAATTGGAAAGGTTGTCGGCAATGAAGAATAATCATAGTTCGTTCGTGAAATCGGCGTACGACGGCGTAACCGGCAGGAAGTTACCTCCGTCCAGTTCTATGGCTTTCTTGGAAAAAAATCGAAGCCTGGCGGCCGTGGTGTTGGGCGACTTTCAGACTAGCCTAAGAAAGTATGCAATCACCTTTTATCATCGTTAAAAATCAATCCAAATTTCTGGGCCAACAGCAAACAACAAAAACTCTTTCCATTACTAGTTATTATAACAGCGAATATGACGACGGGTCTAATGACATCACGTCTGTCGGTGCTTCAATATGTTCGATCGCCAATGTCACCGCTCAAGCGGTATGGCTTCAAGCGCAGGGGATAAATAATGCCACCGTCACACCAATATCAGTCAATTGTGATCTCGTTGAGCAACTATTATATTGTTTGGTGTATAATTATTCATGTACAATTGTGGAGTCCTTGTATAACGGTAAGCCTTTTTCGTTCGAGATTTCCTGAGGGTATTATCATACCGCCCGCGCTCACCGCTTGCCTCTCCCCCCCCGATCCTTTCCGTTTAGCCAAGGACACTGGTAGAATAAGCCATTACGCCGGGGTCTTTCAATATAATATGCCGAGTGACATCTCATTTTTCGCATTCAACTATTTATCGAATCTTACCGCCTCGAGTACCTCGAGCAATGCGAATTGTGTGTCTAACAAAGATTGTGACGTAGGTTTTCTTCATCGATTCCACGTCTCACTGGTATCGCCGATAGCTAATCGAGTGTAAATCTTTCATCAGTCTGCTGAATCTTGTGTGGCCAAAAAGTGTACAAAGGCTTTCACGAGATATCACAGTTCATACGGAGCAGGATTTGATTACGATCAAGCTGGAAATCTTTTAATCACGGATCCGACCAGAGCGACCTGGGCGGAAAGTGTGTAAGTTGTTGTACTTCTAGCATTCAAAACTCTTGATTCGTAAATATTTGGCTAATTCCGAATCTCTCGCCATAGATGGAACACAATTAACTTGAGAATATTCGTGGTAACGTCGATACGTCAACAGTTGCTTGAATTATTCACCGGGATCGCGTTGACAATAGTCAGCACCATGTGTATGATATTAGGAAAAAAATATTTAAAAAAGACATTAAAAATTTCTTAATGAATTGATTGATAGATTTTTGCATAGAGCTTATTTATCACATCAGATCATCCATCTATCACGACAATAAGCGAGAACGTGAACTGGTGCATCGAGTGCACGCACGCGTTAATTAACTTACACAGACTATGTATCACGTTTCATCGGGAATATAATAAATAATGATTTTCACTTATTACGAATGTGATTATATGAAGGTGACTGCAGGAGAATGCGTGTAATCAAAATTTGAAAATAAGCTAGTGAGTGTGACGTATACCTTTTGTCGGGTTGTTAAATTCTCACGAGTTACATCAGTCTCAGATCACTACACGAAAATGGCCTCGCAAGAATCTGAAGAAATAGATAAGGAAAAGTTGAGGGAAACTTGTCGGTCGATTGTACGCTCGGCAGATTTGAGGTGAGTATTCGGCTCAATTTCTTTCTCGAGATAATTTACAAACACTTTGCTTGACTGTCTCAAAAGAAAGATAACCATGAAGCAAGTTCGACGAGCAGCGGAATCGGAACTCGACCTAAAAGAAAATATCTTGGACAGTAAGTCATGGAAGAATTTTGTTACCGACATTGTTAACGAGGCAATGGGAAATGTGCATGTTTTTTTTTTTTTATTATTTATTATTTTGCTTGAGGTTTATTTTTTTCTACCGCAAGTAAGAAAAGCTGATTTCCGCATCACTTGTGAACTAAAGGGTCAAGACGAAGACAAGACCTCGGAACCCAAAAAAGGAAAAAAACTTCAAAAAACTTCCAAGAAATTGCCGGACGAAAAGAAAGCATATGTAAGGACGGTTCAATCTAAGGGAACGAAGGAAGGACCGAACAAAAAAGATTCAAAGGAACTTGAAGACAATACTGTAGCTGCGGAGGGCGAAGTCAACAATCAGTCTAGAGAAGGTTCGAAAACTTCGGGAATAACAACACAGGAAGGTGGCGCGTTTGGGGAAATATTTGGACCAATGATTAAAAAAAATTCGACCTCCAAATCAAGGAAATTGTCAAAGGACTCGGAAAGGAAGAGCAAGATTGAAAGGGGGTCAAGTCAAAAGCGAATAAATACCGATCAACCCAAGAGAGTAAAGAAGGAAGAATCATATTCGATTTCGGATAGTGATGAAGCGACAAATTCAGGTCAAATTCATAGGGACAGCGTCGATTCGGGTGATGACAACGAGCAAAACTATTCAAAAGATCCAATACATGAAACAAGCAGCATAGAGTCTGACGCGAGAAAAGGGAGGAGAAAAAAAACGAGACGCAAGAGATCATTGGATTTAACGTCCGATGATGAGGGTAGCGATAGCGGAGACGATTATATTCGTGAGAAACGAATGGTACACGGAGTTGACGTCAGCGTGAAGTCCGATAGTGTCTCAAGTTCGGTAACGGCGAAAAAACACAAGTCATCGCAGGAAAGCAAGCGGAAGGTGCTAAAAAAACAAAGGCCAGTTCTTATTCGCGATTCAGATTCGGAAGATGAAGTCAAGGAACGGTTGAAGCCGAGACGAAAGGATATCACGCAGCATCAAGACATGGTTGAAGATGGTGGATCAGTTATGGCACTGGAAAATAAGGTGGCTAAGGAGTCTGATCAGGTTGAAACCTTTGTCAAGTCGATAAAATCCAAAGGGTCCCTCGTCAAAGCAGAAAAAAGAAACTCCCGTGAAGTTGAAGTGGTGATTGAAAAAAATGCTGGAGATTCGGATAGTACAATACAAGGAGATCAGGTGGAAGTTGGAGGATCGGATAGCGAAGGTCGGCCCAAGGGTTTTAAGAATTTGGTAAAGGATGAGGATGCCGAAGAAATGTCCGATGACGAGAAGACACGGATGTCAATGAACAAGCATGCAGGTTCCAGCGACGATTTAAGCGTTCTCGACGATGATTCACCACCGAGAAAGAAACGAAAATCTGGAAAAGCCAAAAGCGTTGTTGACACCGGCACCGTACGTATCTTCGTTTAAATTGCCGTTGGTCATATCAAACGCCTTAATTTATAAAACTTCTGTTAGACCGAGGATAATGACGAGGCGACCATCAAGGAATTGAAGTCGTTCATCGTAAAGTGCGGAGTACGAAAAGTCTGGCAAGTGATGATTCCGATCACGATTTTTAAGGCACCTGAACTCAACGTGTAACTTAACAATCATGTGACTTACAATCCGTTCAGGTCAAAAGAGTTGGCGGGTTGCGACTCGACCTCAAGTCAAATCCACAGGTTAAACCAAATACTCAGGGAGATAGGGATGAAAGGTAAATAAATGTCTCATAATTCGGGATAGCACTCGGACGACTCATATATCCTTTATATTCAGGACGACCGACGCTTGAAAAGTGCAAGCGAATTTGTGCGCGCAGAGAACTAGAAGTGGAAATGAATTCTATTGATGTCGGCAATATCATTCCGGACGATGAGAAAGAATCTCGCAAGTCACGAGCTTCCCGGGGTATATTTAATCCCACAGGCCGCCGCACAAATCCTGCTGTGCGCCAAACATCGGTATTTAGTAATTTTGATTGGTGTCAATCTTTTGTGCGACCTTGTATTTAGCGTTATTTAATTAATAAAAATATAATAGGAGACGGAGGAGAAAGAGGAATCACTCTCTGAAAAAACCGATGGCGATAGTGATATTTTTTAACACATTGCAAGTGTGAGGGGGTTTTTTTTTTTCTTTTTTTTTTTCTCTCACGTTTACAGAATTATTCTGGCAATGTCGATTTATTAAACGTCTCAAACACAAAATTACATGCATCGTAAATTGCGTTGTTGTCCAATATCCTTATCATGCGCACAGTCGTGTTATCCCCTTTCTCAGCATTTGTGTCGTATAACTCGCCGCTGCCTGCATGTCGTTTGTAACGGATCTCGCATCACTCGATCGTGGGATTTGTTCGAATCAACTTCGATTAATGATTAATAGATTTCATTCTGTTCCGGTTGGCCAACATCATGACGGCCATACAAGAAGTAACAAATCCCACAAATTTAAAAAAGGCGGCGCGGGAAATTTGTCTTTCTTCTTCGGGCGTTCGGAATGAAGAAAAAATCCTGCGTAAATTTGGAAACGCCATGATTGTTTCTCACCACAGTATCAAGGACCTTTTTTTTTTTCTTTCTATTGACCTGAGAGAGATTTTGTCTGACCCGTAAAAAGAGAGGTCTTAATGGATCGTGTGATGAGGTGATATACGCCAGGCCGAATATGATCAACCAATAGGAAATGCCTGGAAGAGAAAATAAGGCTAATCGGTCTTTTTTTTTTTTTTCGTATAATTCCAAAAATTGTAAGAGCTTTTACAAACTTGGGTTTATAATATTGTACAATGTCTCTTTCTCTACTTTTGAATTTTTTGAGGTGACAATGACGGATCATAGTAATCCTTAGCTGTATATATTTACAACTACGATATACATTTTAAGTTTTGGCTCCGTTTTCTTTTTGTGCACAATATGCACACGAGTAAGTCACGGGAAATTTCAACAAATAATATCCTTAACACTTGGCGAAGTGCTTATCAAGATCAAATGTCAGAAACCAATGTTAATCCAAAGTTCAATCTCGATCTCAAGAATACACTGCTGGACACCCAGACGAAGAAGCGGTGAGTATGTCGATTTGCTTTACGCATTCCTTCGATCACACTATTCCCTCTCCGTTCCAAGCAAGCCCGTTTTTTTTATTTTCTCACCCGCAGGTTAAAAAACTCGCTGTCAAACAGACTCAGAGACAGCGGTTGGACAAACACTGTTAGAAAACGTTGCACAGGTAGCTAAAGAGTAAATTTTCTGAATTTAATTTGCGGATAAAACGAACCATTAATCAAACTTTGGCAGAGATTATTAAAACCGAGGGGAAAGGTAACGCCAAATTTGGACACTTGGAGGACATTTTATTACCATACGGTCGAGGTATTTGTGATGATATTTGACGTGACGGTTGTCAATCTTAAATAAAAAATTTTAAATTTTCGGTTTTATTATTTTAGAAAAGATTCCAGAGGACGTTAAGATCGAGTTTTTAAAACAAATTTCCGATTTATTGGAATCTTCAAATAGCTCCGTGGAAAAAACTTGAGGAATTAATAGTAATTATAACGATTTAGATATTGAGAGATGTGGCGGTGAAGAAAATTCTACCGACAGGTTAAAAAAAGAGTTAATCGAAATGAATACACACACACACACATATATATATATATATATAATAAATTCCGGTGGAAGAATAAAGTAAAAACCACACGTGTCAAAATAAATACACATACTTACACAGTTGCTCAACAATCTATCTTGTGATTAATCCTTTTTGTGGAATTCAAAGTCGTTACCGTGGTAATGATTTAAATAACGTGTTTGGGTATATCATCATATATAAAATAATTACTCGTGGGTGGAACATAGGAATCTTGACGCGTGACGATCGGCTGCGGCTTGCTGCACATTAATGCTTCCATGACCGAATCCACCTCCTGCTCTGAATCGATTGGTCCTTCGTCCTTTTCGGATAATTCATTCTTGCCATCTTTCTTGCCGTTCTCCTGTTTATTAGCAACGCCATTATCTTTAGGTTGAAACCAGAATTGTTAACTTTCTTTATGTTTTTTCGTTTTTCTTTTTTTCTTTTTTTTTTTTCTTAAATTAAAAATTTGACGAGTTCAGTTCGTATGTTTACTTTGTGGACGGCCGATAGATTTCTTTTGATATTGAGCTAACAATAAGTCGTAAAGTTGCGAGCGACCCTGAACTGCTCGTTTTAACGCCACCGAATGACTTTTACATGTCAACGAGCGTGTACATGGTGTATTGCTTGGAGGCGCGATGACACCACAATGTTTATCCAAATCGACAGGCCCTGATAAGGTGGGATGAATCAAAGTTAAGAACTAAGGTTTAATCCAAACTCGGGTTACAATAATTTCTACCTTTGTTTCGTCCCGTGGTTTTCTTTTTCTTCTCTTCCTTTTTGGGCTTTTGCTTCTTTTCAGGAGGTGGTTTTATTCCCGAGGGCGAAAGAGATTTGTTTGATATCGATGGATCCATAACTTCAACTGAAGAAATCCAATGCACGGGATTTAACGCTCTCGCATTAAACAAATTGCGTCTCTCAGGCGACATGGGATTTCCCATACCATACCTTCAGAATTAACGGATCTCTTGCGTTTCTTGTTCGGATTACAGAATTCAACTGTGTTTACGTTATTTTTCGTGTTCTTGTTTGCGGAGGCGTCGTGTACCGGTGGTATCTTTACCGTCGCAGTGACTGGATTCTCTCTTAGCCTTTCGCAACTCTCTAGATACGGATTGGTGAGATTAATTAATTAAATCGTTGGGTATCGAATCAGCACTATTGTTCAAAGGCCTTACAACCTACCGGCATGTTCAATGAATCCTTGCGGCGATAATTTCTTTGAACATTCGTTACACTTCACTGTCCCATTTTCGTCTTTTAAGGGATTGCACCCGTAAATCTTCATATGTGTTGAAGGAGTTAAGTTTTGTTGTAAGCTAGAATTGTAAGCATTTTCAAGACTTTTTTTTTTTTCTCTTAATGAACGCCACAAAGGATATCATCATGCTTGAATCTAACCGCCGCCGACGGAGGAACTTTGATTTCTCCTTGAGAAGTTAAGGCAACGTCATTGTCGCCTACACATCAATGTTTAATGAAATTTGAATTAGACAAGAAATGGAATTTAATTTAGTTAGTGAGCGGTTAAGCCAATTTCATACAGTCGTCGTCGTCGTTCAACGTAGCCTCTTTAAGTTCACTCCAGGAAGAATACCTTGTCAGTGATTCTTCCTTCACCTCGCCCTTCGGAGAATATTTATGTTCATTCCGGCCTTCCTCATCTTTAAAGAGGGACAAGGCGGCGGAAGACATCAGAGGTTCCCAGCTACCAGAAGTCATTGTGTAAAGAAGTTTGAAGGATACGGAAAGATGGTGAAAAGGTAAAATGTGGGTGAGTGGTGATGAATGATACATGGCATGCACGTATATGTATGCTAATTGCACTTGAAGGTGATTGGTCGGTTAAATTGATTACGTATGCTTCGCTTTCATTGGTCCAGTAATTTAGGTATGTACCCTTTGAAATACTAAAGTAATCTCAAATTTATCTCTTCAATCGGGAATTTTACTCAAAGGATCCGTTATACCTTACTCAGCTCGGCGCTTGAGGACACAGAACTTGTGGTAATAACCCACCGAGATACAACAGCGATTCGTCGACTTCTACTCAATAGTATGGAAGAGAAGATTAAACAACGTCGTGTTAAAGTTTATCAACTAAGTAGAGAGAGTGAGTGGCTCGACAAGGGCACCGGTTTTTGCTCTTGCCTATGTAACGAGGTAGTATCTTCATACTGTGTGCATACCTAGGGACTATACAACTTTTGGCATTCAAAGTCCACACCCCCTCAAAAAATAATAATGATAATAATAATAATAATAGAATCGCTTTCAACGAATTGCCATTTGGACTTCAATAATTCTTGATTTATCTCAATGATGCACAGACAAAAGATGATGCCTACATTGTCGTACACTCCGAAGAAGATTCAGCATCTGTACTGCTACATTCGCAAATATTCAAGGACCAGGAGTATCAGAAGCAACAAGGTACCTTGGTCTTTCAATATCTCACGTTAATCGACTCTTTTTTTTTTTTTTTTTACCAAGCTTCCCGACACTAATTTAAACTTTGAATCCGCTCCAACCATAGATACATTGGTAGTGTGGACCGAGCCCAATGGAATGGATTTGGCACTGAGTTTCCAGGAGGCCGAAGGATGCACGGAAATATGGTACCTTAATATTACCGCATGCCTCATACATTTTGACGTTCGCGATTATTAACGAAGCTTTCATAAATTTACAAGCGATTTTATATCGGAAATAAAGAATCACATGAATCAGGAAAATTCGGAAGGTAATATACAATATTAAAATGTACGCAAATATTGACAGAGGAATTGAATATCTTTACCGATGTCCAATAAATCAAAACTACTTAGATGTCAGATCCAGTCCCTTTGATTCTGAAATAATAAGTACCTCCATAAAATTGCCTGATCCGACCTTGTCCAATTTACAAGAGATCGAATTATTGATCAAGAGTGCGAGTCGATCTACGTTTGAAAAGGAAAAATTGGCGTTATTCATTACTCAAGCGGTTGTTTGTTGTTTTTTTTTTTATATCTGATAATCTCAAGATCATATCATTTTCACAGATTAATTATGCTTGGCTGACATGGTATTCTCTTTTTTTTTTTTAAAAAAAAAAACTACCTTAGGGATATATCTCCAAATTATTACCATTGTTTTCCACATGTGAAGATCTCGAAGATAGAAAAGATCTACATAGACTGTGTAATATCATGAAAGGAATAAGTACGTTTCGATTCGAACCACACGGCATGTTAAAATTGGCGGTGCTAATGCTGGCAATATTTATTACACAAAAGTTATGTTACAAGACAGCGAAATCTATGAATTCATCCTACGCGATGACGTAATAATGCAAGTCGTTGGGATGCTAGAATGTAAGTTTCGGAATCATATTTACTAGCGATCAAATAAATTTTAATTAACCGCGACCATTAAAAAAAAAAAAAAGATGACCCAGAATTTCCAAATTACAAGGCCAATCATCGACAGTACCTGTCTGACAATTCGAAATTCAAAGAAGTAAGGCCGAGTCTAGTTCTTGAGTTTCTGGATTGAAAGAATGATTAATTGTAATAAGTTTATTCTATTGTATATTTTAGTGATCGTCTTGTTTTTCTTTTATCTTAGATCGTCAAAATAAAAGACAAGGCGATCGAAGCAAAAATACATGAAACTTTCCGTCTTCAATATCTCAAGGATGTCGTATTCGCTCGAGCATTCGACGATCCCACCATTATATCATCTCTCATTTTCTTCAACCATGTCGACATATCTAAACACATCTCACAAGATGACGAATTTTTGACTGAACTCTTCAACATTCTTAACGAGGAAGGTGAGGACTCAACACGCAAACGTGACGTTGTCATGTTCGTTCAGCAACTCTGTTCCATCGCAAAGAGCATTCACTTTTCTAATAGAAAAGATCTATACAAGTATGTCGCCATTTCATGCTACAATACGCGCACTCGTTCCCCGTCACCTTAATTTAAGAATCTCAATTCTGAGTTTTCCTATTTGTAGATCATTGGCGAAACATGGACTATTCCAGATCTTTGAGCACTCCTTGGTGGACAAAGATCCGTCCGTAAGAACCGCCGGCGGTGAGATATTAGCTTCCATCCTGGACACTGATGCCAGTATAATTCGTTCTTATATTGTCAAGCAGGACGAAGAGAAGAAGAAAACATTGGCTGATGTTATCATAGAGAGATTCATTCAAGACGAGGATATGGGTGTAAAAGCGCAATGCGCGGAGTCACTCCGTTTTCTACTAGATATGAACGCGGGGCTGTCCGAGATAGGTTTCATAGTGCCCCCAGAGGTATTTGACAAGATTGCATATACGTCATGGCGTTCCTAATTATTTTATTGCTAAGGCTTTCTTCTTGAATCCAACTTTTACATTTTCACAGTCTCTAAACCTGCTCAACAATCACGACGACGATGTTGATCAATTCTTAAACGTATTCTACGAGGAACCGATAAAAAAGATAGTAAAACCCATATTGGATTTGCCTGAACTGGAAAAAGATGATGGTAAACTTAATCCGACAATTGAATGCAGAAGACTGTGTGAACGTCGTTTTGATATTATGATCGCTAATCAAATTCTTTCAACTTGAATCGACAGACATACTTCAACTATCCCCAGACAAAGCTGCCTTGTGTTACCACATATGCGAACTCTTATCATTCATCATACGACAGCACTCCTTTAGAAGTAAATATTTTGTACTTTCAACAAATATAACTTTAAAGATGTGTCTATTATTTAAAACCCGAGAGAGTTACGTAAAATTGGGTGAGTCAAAGTAGACCCGCAGCGTCGTTTGAGGGGACACGACGAGAAACTAACCATACGTCTTTTAAACATCTACCTGAAGCTTCTTTGAGGTGCTTCCGCGCTTGTATAGGAATGAAAGAGGAATTCTATAATAGGTACCTTGTGCGGAATAACCTTTTTGATCCCATAATACGATTGCTCACGAGTACTGAGGGGAAAAATAATTTGCTGAATTCTGCGTGCCTCGAGTTGTTTGAATTTATACGAAAGGTAAATAGGATAGGGTTTTTTGTTTCCTTCTGTTCAATTAACCATTTCGCATTATGAACCTAACTTTAACTTTTTTGATCGACCCGACTAAACAGGAAAATATCAAATTTCTAATTAGTCATATCATGGAAAAATATGGCGAACAGTTGACACAGATCAATTATGTCGATACTTTCCATCTCCTCCAACTTCGTTATGAACAGAACAAAGAGGTCCTCGTTAGATCAGACAAGTCCCCCGGCGAGTCTAGTCAGAGGCATGTTTAAAGTTTCTAATTTGAGATTTTCCGTGAATCGTCTTGTTTCTCTTGTGCTGATCGCAATTCCCGTAATTGATTGTAGTCGAAGCAATACCCAACAGACAGGTCACGAAGGCTGGTCCTCGGCCACAGTAGACGAAGACGAAGAAGCCTACTTCAACACATCGGATGACGAAGACAGCGGTATATCCGGTGAAACTGCAAAAGCCGAAAGTACGTTGGCCGAGGAATCAAAGGATGGATCGAGTTCTGAAAATGATTCGTCGGTGGGTTCCAAAGTGGATTCAGCGAAAGCTCCGAAATCTGAAGTTGAGTCATACAATGTCGGAAAAGTGGGCTTGGTCGACTATCCGGACGAAGATGACGGCAACAATGAGGATGTGAAAAAGGACATTACCGATCAGATGACTCTCGACACGCCTCGCACGTCTTCACCGCCCATCATAGGGAAAAGAACACGAGACGACGATGACGATGACGACCTTTTGATAAGAGCAAAGACTCCTCAAACTCCTGCGAATGAGTCATCTCTGTCACCAAACGGGACCTCTACAAAGAAGGGAGGCTTGAAGATTTTGCGATCATCTCAAACCTTGAGGCCAAAATTAAAGAAGGCACGAATGGAGTAATCCCGATGCGTCGGGAATTATGAGTTATTTGATGCATTTTCACATTAAATTATTATTTTGTGATCAAGCGTAATTTATCTGCAAACTAAATAAATTTAAGTGTAGACAATTATTTTTTTTTGTAAAATGATCAATCGCTAATTTTTTTTTCACGTACTGTATTTACTATAACGAAAAACCTCAATACCTTACAAATTCTAGAAAAAAAACCTTTCAAGCTTGGGAATGTCATAATTCTTACCTTATATATTATATTATATATATATATATATATTTTTTTTTTTGTACAGTCATCCCATAAAGTAAAGTTCGAAAATTATTTTATAATAAATAAAACATTGCAACTTTTATATCAGATTATTAAGTAATATGTATACAAATGGATTAGAAAATAAATTTTTATTGTTTTTTATCCGCAATCATACTATCTTTATTGAGATATTAATATTACATGGATTTTCACATGACAACTAACTCATCTTTGTACATTATTAGAATAAATATTTTTAAAAAATGATAGCTCACAAGCTTTGCTTTTTTTTTTTTTTTTTTTTTTTTTAAACCCATGGTCAGGCCAGTACTGTGAGCTTATTAATCATTAAGAAAACCAATTGAGATATATAGGGCAATTGCATCATGGCTAAACTAAAAGACTCATACTAACATACTTGTCAATTGCTTTCAATTCTCAAAAGAGCTTCAGCCTCTAAGTGCAACCTTGGGAACAATATTTTGCTTTGAACTAAGTTTTGGATGAAGACCCTTTTAACTTATCCATCATTGCTAGCAGGTTATTACTACTTATTATCCTCCAAGGAACTGAATTTAAGAAATTACAAAAGGGAAAAGGAAAAATAAAAGGAAGGGGAATATCTAAAAATACACAACTATACTACATGAAAACAAAAAGAAAAAATAAAAAATAAAAAGCACTTCATGTTCTCCAAAGGATTTTTGCTACAAATCTCTTCTTATTAGGAGTCAACCCTTCTGGAATATTCTTTTTCTTTCTGACCATCTGAAAAACTTATCTATCTGTGTTCTTGATTATTTTCTTATGATCATCTGAGATACTTATTACCTACTCAGATCCAGTATCTTGCTCAATACTTTCTTCTTTCAGTCTTGATTTTATATCCACCTGTGTAAAAAAGATAACTAATAGTGAACACCAGATTCTTATGTGGCTTTTCAGTCTTGTTAAATAACTTACAATATTTTTCAACAGTTATGCCTAGTTAAAGGAATTTTATTGGTATTTATCTTGATTATGATGTTATTATATAACATCTAAAAAAATACATTTTCAATTCTAGAGAAGAGCAATGTTTTACATTTCTCTATTTTTTGATCTTACAGCCTGACTGGAATAAGGAAATAATCTCCTTTGCATACTTTGCCTGACCAGAATAATAAGAAGTTGAAGGCCTCGACTTAAACAAATAATCACTATTTAATCACTTAAAAAATTTAGTGCCTATTTTAATGACCTCATAATTTCTTTGTTTCAGTTAAACTTCATTTGGAGAAATGGAGGAGTTTATATACTTGATTTCTCATTCTATCACCAACGATATCATTGGAATATATAATGTAATCAGTAGGAGCTTATTTATATTCTGCTATCAATATGTTTCATATCGATCAATCACTGTTAGCAATAGTTATGTCAATTTTGTGTCACTTCAAAATTCAGGGTCAAGCTGAGATAGGCAAAATTTCCCAAAAACTCTAAAAAATGAGTAACTCTAAGAGGATAGAAATAATAGAGCGGAAAGTTTTATAGTTTAAGCTTTTGTTTGTCTATTCATTCATTGCATAAAATCTCTAGTTGCACTCTTGCTTCAGGAGATAGGTTTTCAATACTTCACTATTGATTTTTTTTTTCTTTTAGAACTTTCTTGCCATAGGTAAAAAAGGTGTTTCTTGACTTTTCTTGATTACTAAAAGTCAAGTTTTTGTTTGAAAAGGAATATAAATAAGAAAGGAGAGTTGAAAGAAACTCTTGAAGTTATTCTTCAAGTTGATTTAAGGAAAATAATAGGACTTTATTAGCAGAAAAGTATAAAACTTTTTTGCAAATGTCTTTTTTGTATATTATCAAGGGATTAGTGGAAAGAATTATAAATATAGCTTACAAGCTTTGTATTACCTATTAATTTTTATTAATAAATATATATAAAAATCAAAAATTTTAAAATAATTAAAATTGAAAAAATTTTTTATTTTTTATTTTTATTTTTATTTTTTTTAAACCACAACTGGTATTAGATGTGAGCACTTTATTAAGAATAATTTAACAAAATCTTAAGCTTAATATCAATTATTTTATACAATCTATATATATATATATTTTTTTTCTTTTTTTTTTAACTCACAATCATGTCACTTTGGTATGTCTTTATTGAGATATTGAGAGATATCTAAATATTTTATAGACTTTCACAAAGCAACTAACTCATTATTGTACATTATTAGTTAAAGAACTATACTACTTAAAAAATATGAGGAGTTTACTAAGCTAGTTCATACTAAACAAAACTAAGTCTAAACTAGATACTCTAAGTCAAATTTAGGAGACAATATTATACTCTCCTAGTGTCTTGATATAGTGCCTCTAAGTCAAAAAGGGTTATTGCCAATAGTTTATTACTATTAATTATCCTGAAAAATAATGAATTACTAAAGTTAACACGATAGAAAAAAGGAAGGGGAAATATAATTTAAAGCCCTTCAAAAGATTCTTGTTCTATTTCACAGTTTTCTCTTGAAAGGGATTTGTCTGATTGAGATATTCTCTAAGCTTCATAATGTTTGAGGAACTTAGCCATTCCTGAAAGTGATTTTAAGAAGAATATTTGAGGAACTTATTCTTCTGTTGATATACAGATTCACTATTGCTAGTGAAGCCAGTACCATATTATGGAAGAGTTTGCCTGATCAGAATTAAGAAATCTTTTTAAAAACTTTGCCTGATCAGGATAGAAGCTTGGAGACTTTAGTTTTTATTCAAGAAAGTCTTTTTACTACCTGAGGAACTTAATGAGAGATAGGAGTTGAATCTTCTATTTCTATTCATCACTTGTCTTTCAATATTATAATTGTTTCCTGGAAGTTGAGCATATATGATTGAAAGGGATACTTTTTCTTGAACTTTCTTTTCTATATCATTAATGATATATTGAGACATGTGAGTATAATCAATAAGAGCTTGTTTACATTCCAAAAACTGACATGTTTCATGTCAACCAATCATCTTTGATATGGATTTGTGCTATCTAAAATTCAGGGTCAAACTAAAATAGGCAAAATTTACAGAAAACTATAAATATGAGAGTTCTAAGAGAGCCAAGACAGTCAAAAAAGAAGAAAATATATCTTTTTACTGCAGAAAACCTCTATAAGTCTCTCGCTTCAAAGATTAAAAAGACCTTTAGGTACTTCACAATTAGTTTTTCTTTCTTTGGGAACTTTCTTGCCATTGATATCAAAGGTACAACTTGACTTTCTTAGTTACTAAAAATCAAGTTTTTGAGTGAAGAGATTTGTAGACAATAGGGGAAGAATAGAAATGACTCTTGAAGTCATACTTCAAATTGTTTTAAGGAAAGTATTAAGACTTTATTAGCAAAGAAGTATAAAAATTTCTTGCAAACATCTTATTTGTATATGGTTATAGAATCAGCAGAAAAAGTTGTATCTTATACAATCTATATATTTCTATATATATATAGATTAATAATAACCTATCTCAGTTTGTTCTAGGTGAACCTACTACTACTCTGTGAATGAGACAGATTCAGAATAGAGGTCAAATGGTTAAATACACAATCATTAATGGTAAAATATACTAATTTAGTATTGAGCTTTTATAACTTTTTTGTATTATATTCACTAAACTAATCTATATAGTATATACCTAATGGGATTTAATTTACTTTCCAATACTCCTAGATATTATTCATTCAGATCTTAGAAGGATGCACTTTATCTTCTTTGTCACTATCTGTGTACTAATCAAAAAATATTTATTTAACATAATATTACTCATGTAATATTTATCAAAAAATAAATAATTCAGCATATTAATGGTATAAATAAAGCTTCAATCAATTTCTACTATATAATTTGATATATAATTTAATATAAATAAATTATCAATTAATTTCTACTATATAATTCAAAATTATTTTCCATATAATTTATATCATTTTTACTATATATTTCATAAAATTTTTCTCAAAAAATCATTAAACATTTGCCAAAATTCATATATTTGCTAAAATTTAATTATATATTATATTTACTATTTAAATAAATTATAGCTAAATATTTATAAAAACTTTTTTCACTAATTCTCTACCCATATACAAAAAAGATATTTGCAAGAAATTTTTTATTTTTTTACTAATAAAGTCTTAATACTATTCCTAAATCAACTTGAAGTTTTATTTTAAGAAATACTTTCAAACTTTTTCTTGATTATATTCATCTTCAAACAAAAACTTGACTTTCTGTGACTTAGAAAAGTCAAGAAATAATTTCTTTGCCTATAGTAAAAAAGTTTGACAAGGAAAAAGAACTAATAGTATAGTACTCAAAGCCTTTTAAATTGAAGCATGTTTATAGAGGTTTTCTATAGTAGAAGGTGATAAATATAAAGCCATATTTTCAAAATGTCTGCTTACTGTTTCTTCCCTCTTATAGTTATCCAAAAATTTCTGGATTTTTTATGGAATTTTGTCTATCTCAGTTTGATCCTGAATTTTAGATAACTCAATCTATTGCAAAATATGATTGGTGAATATGAAATATGTTAGTAACTAAATGTAAATAAGTTTCTACTAATCATCTCACATATTCTGATAATATCATTGATGATTGAAAAAGTTGATTGATACTTCATGTTCACTTTAATTCTTCAATTGAATTAATCTATAGATCAAGTTTCATGAGATCAATAAGATACAAGCAACAAGTTTCCAGATAATGAAAAAGCT